CCTCCACCACCACCACCACCACATTTCTATTGCTTCCCTCCTCCACCACTACCACCACATTTCCATTGTTTTCCCTCCTCCTCCTCCTCCTCCTCCTCATTTCTATTGTTTTCCCTCGAAAGGCCTAAAAGGCCAAACTTGGAGGGAAAACAATAGAAATGAGGAGGAGGTGGAGGAGGAGGGAAAACAATAGAAATGTGATGGTGGTGGTGGTGGTGGTGGTGGTGTAGGGAAAACAATAGAAATATGGCGGTGGTGGTGGAGGAGGGAAAACAATAGAAATGTTGTGGTGGTGGTGGTGGTGGTCGAGGGAAAACAATAGAAATGCGGTGGTGGTGGTGGAGAGAAAACAATAGAAATGTGGCGGTGGTGGTGGAGGGAAAAATGGAAATGTGGTGGGGGTGGGAAAACAATAGGGATGTGGAGGTGGTGGTATATAGCTTCACTATTTACGAAGCAGTGTTAAAAAGGAAAAAAGGTGAGTGTAGGGTCGATGAGGGGTCGATGTCGGGTCGATGTGGGGTTGATGTGGGGTCGATGTGGGGTAGATGTGTGGTCGATGTGGGATCGATGTAGGGTCGATGTAGAGTCGCTAGGAGGCCGATGCATTTGTAGACAGAAAAATATATAGAATAAATGAGGAGGTGGAGGAAGGGAATAAAAAACATTGACGAGGGAAATTATAAAAATTGTGGGGGAGGGAATAAAAACATTGAGAAGGGAAAATAATAAAATTGTAGAGAAGGGAAAAAGGAAAAAAGTGAGGAGGGAAATAAAATTGAAAACGGGAGAGGGGTAAGTAAAACATTGTGCGCAGTGTAATAAAAACATAAAAAGGATGGCTTGCTTTCTTTGACTATTTTAATAGATTTCTTTCAAATCGCTGTGTATGCGGTTGCATACACAGGTTGCGGTTGCGGTTGCGGTTGCGGTTTTATTGCTAGCAATTATTAGTCGTGTGTTTTAATTGATCCTTGTTAAGTTAAAAACTAATTTGTATTCAACTTTGGGCTTATGAACTCGCATAATTAACCGATTAACCGTACGTGAAACGCTGAGACTGTAAAAGTTTTTCATTTCCTCGAGATAGATAGGAGAAAACGTCAGACAAACTTAGAGAGTTTTCAGTTCTACTTTGTGTATGTTTTGTTTATATATATCCGAGTTTTAGAGCCAAATAAGAAGACATAAACTAAATTGAAATAAAGACTTTTCAACTCCACTTTGTGTATATGTGTTTTGTTGATATGTCTGAGTCTTAGCGCTAAATAAGATATAGGAAGCCGTTTGTCGTGTTGCTAGGTGATCGCTTCTCTTATTCCTATTTCTCTTTTAATAGACGGTCTGAAAACCGGGTTCAAATTACTTAACAGGCAAGCCGAGGCAAGCCTATTGTTTCTATTGAAGTAGAGAGACGCTCATTAGTAAACCTATACCGAATTAGTATGCAGGGAGTTTGACTAATAGTCGCGGGTCGCGGGTCGCGGGTCGCGGGTCGCGGGTCCAATGTCGCGGTCGCGGGTCCAAAGTCGCAGTCGCGGGTCCAATGTCGCGGCCGGGGAAAATGATTTGGAGTTCGAGGAAACAGCTGAGTGAAAACGACTGACATGAACACAATATGAAGGGAAAAAATCTTTTTTTATGCACGATACTCTACGGTAGCCACTGTACAGGTTACGGATCTGAGAGTCAACAAAATAATGTCTCAAGAAAAGACCTAAAAGAAAAAGCTGGCCGACTTTTGTGTTCACCGCAAGTTCATTTTGTTTTCTTTCTATCGGGCCCAGTTATGTGTAAATTAAGCTTTGAATGTACTTATGCATAACAGTATCTGATAAAAAAGTTACCATAAGTTACCATTGCTTCCTTCTTGTCTATGAATTGCTCACAAATGCTTAGGGGTTCATTTACTGAAAAATATGCGATACACTTCATAGACTACAGATTATAAACCTTACAACAACTTAAAGCCTTTTTTTAAAAAAAGCGAACTCGGGCTCAAAAAGCTACGAGTCTGTCAATAGAAGAAACGAGAACTCTTATATTTAACAAATGTTTTCGGCAAAACTGAAAGAAAATGTAAATAGGCGCATGAAACTTCATTCAAGCGGTATTCAAGGCATGAATTTAATATGGAAACAAGTAATAATCCACAGAAAGGAGTCTGTTCCTCGAAGCAAGATTTTCGCTTAATGCTGTTATTTTTACAACTGAGACGGCTACCCAGAGTGTTCAATATACCTTGTTGTTCTCTTCACCTGAATGGCAACCAGGACAACCTGACAATAGGAAGCCATTCAATGTGCGTCTCAGTCAAATCTTGAAAACATGCATCGTAACTAAGTGAGTAAGTAGGTAAGGAAATATTAACGCCCGATATCATGAAGCTGAAAAAGAAAGTAAACCAGACACTGAAAACGGTAAGTTATCAACTCTACCAGAGCTAAGAAAAGACAATAAATTAGGTAAGTAATTCCAGATTCCAGGTACTGGATTCAAGTCTTTGTCAGTAGAACCAAAAGACTATGATCTATTCTCTCTTGGTAGAACTTGGATTCCGGATTTCAATCGTTAGTGGGAACAAACTCCTTTCTGTGGACAAGAGAGGATAAAGATCGAGCTTAATCCCCACTTGCTGTGGATTATTACTTGTTTCTATATTAAATTCATGCCATGAATACCCGCTTGAATGTACTTTACTGGCACTTCAAGCCCAACGTCTCTCCTCCTCTTTTCAGTTTCTTGTGCAAAGAGTTTATTTTGGGAGTTTGCGACCAGGAAGTTTTTCAACAAGCGCTTTCTTTATTTTTGCCGAAAACATTTGTTAAAATTGAAACAGTTCTCGTTTCTTCTACCGACAGACTCGTAGCTTGTCGAGCCCGAGTTAGCCTTTTTAAAAAAGGTTTTAAGTTGTTGTAACGTTTATAATTTATAGTCTATGAAGTGTACCCCACATTTTTCAGTGAATGCTCCCCTAAGCATTTGTGAGCAATTCATAGACAAGAAGAAAACAATGGTAACTCATGGTAACATTTTTTATCAGATACTGTTATGCATAAGTATATTCAAAGCTGAATTTATACATAACTGGGCCCGATAGAAAGAAAACAAAATGAGCTTGCGGTGAACACAAAAGTCGGCCAGCTTTTTCTTTTAGGTCTTTTCTTGAGACATTATTTTGTTGACTCTAACAACCGTAACCTGTAAATTGGCTACCGTAGAGTATCATGCATAAAAACGATTTTTTTCCCTTTATATTTTTTTCATTTCACTCGTTTTCACTCAGTTACCTCGAACTCCAAATCATTTTCCCCTGCCGCGACATTGGACCCGCGACCGCGACATTGGACCCGCGACCCGCGACTATTAGTCAAACTCTTCTGCAGGAAGAACACTGACTAGGCACTTAAGAGCGTGTCTCCGTAAAAACCGATCAGTGATTTTGGATCAAAAAATTAACTTCCCTTATATTCTGGGATATTAAAGCCTTCACCTTAGTAGTTACAAAAATACATTTCGTTTGACAGAAAGTGATAAAGATATTTTTTTACGAATTTTTGAATTTCTGGACGATTAGCGCCGGCGTCATAGCCTTTCAAACTGGAAAAATCGCTAATATTGACCGCACTCTAGAAAACTAACACCCAGCTCAAAAAGACTAATTTTCTTTTCCGTATACAGATACAGCACTGCAGATTTCCTAGCCATATCACAGTTCCAAGTTATTTATTTATTTCAACGGCAATGATTTTTTCCCCAGCACGTGTTTCGGCTTTCCATCAAAACACGAAAGTAGCTCAACTTTGAGGGTAATTTTGAAAAGTGTGGCACCTGTCTGAACTTCGCTATCTGTATAAATACAATCTAGGAATGATAGTAAAACTCAACAAGGAATAACATTTTTGTGCTCTCCACGTTTTGAGAAGAGACCGCGGTTTAAATTTTCAGAAATTTTGTAAACATGATAATTAACGAACACTCGCCTTGTCGATCTGCTTGTCAAAGTCAAACTTCATTTGATGGCGTGATAGGTCTTATCCAAGTTCTTTCACATTTTAAGGTTATTTCTCAATCATCTGAAACTATATTGGCCGTTGATTCCATGTCGTTGGTCCGTTTAAAGAAGTTATCTGGTTTTTAAAATGGCAATATCCGCGAGCGTGACTGGTTCGAGACACCGTCCTGAAAGGTCTTTTGCTAAAATTAGTTGGGTGCAATCTTGTTCATTGAGATTATACTCTTCAAGACATCGCAGTGAAATTTCTAGGGCAAATAAAACACGTTCCTTTGCAAATACGACGCGATGAGTCGCTGACAAAGCGTTTTAACCCAGTCTCCTGACAAACTTGAAAAATACGTGACTTTGTATTTCATCATTTTGTAGAGGATATTTTTGCTCCTGAAGTAACCGCTTTAACTCTAAAAACATCGAGTGTTTTTTTTTTTTTTTTAAACCTGTCCTTCAACGGCATCTTTTATCTGGTTTGTACAAAAGTAATAGAGAGGGTCATGAGTTGCGAGCGTGACACGGTTGTTTCGTAACATTTTCTCTAAAGTTCGATGTAATTAACATTGAATCGCCATGCTTCGATAAATTTTCTTCTTCAGCTTAACATAAATGCACCGACAAAAATGGTTCAACACATTTCAGCTAAGAGAATTGAGAAACTATGGCCACGCTACTACAGTTTCCACGTCCTTCCCAGGACCCCACGCTGCGCGAAAAGTCATTGAACTGGACCCTGGCATTCACATTCCGTGACAACTTTTCTGAGCTTGTCCAACAGATCAGCTATCCTTTCTTTAGATCTGAAGGGGACCTCAAGATAGGAAAGTACCTTCTTAAGCATTTGGACATTAAAAGCAGGAAGTCTGTTCTGTCGATGTAAGTCACAGAGATCATACGTGTCGTATGTAATAGGGTGCTTCAATCCAATTGCTTCAACAATATTTGCCATTAAATTATGATGCTCTGCACTTTCCACAAGACATTCGATATCTTATTCTTGTTCCATAGAAAATCCCACAGTCCCTGATTCTTTCCGTTTGGAAGCTGCAAGGCGAGAGAAGAAACTCTGTATCTGCGTTTTAGATAGCCACTCCGTGCGACTGAATCGTCTTTCATTAGAAGGGGTTGTTGCTGTTCTCATATCTTTTTCATGCTGAACGCTGTCCGCCTTGCGGCCAGTTCGCTCACCAATTTCAAACTTGGCTGTGAGATATTCTTTAACCTCACGAGGAAACCGGATGGAACCTGCGTGGGCCTTGCTTAGTGCCCATCCCATTTGCAGGGTTTCTAAGTCAGTTGATGATTCGGACGCTAACATTAAATGGTGTAGATTTTTTCGCAGCCACATCCACTGATGTAAATTTTGTTGCCCAGTCCTTTCTGATCTTGTCATATAAGCTTTCACTCTTCTTCGTCGTTTCTTGATTGCTGGTGTGCTTCCCTACGTCAAGGTGCTGTTCTAGATCTGAAAAGAACTCAAAGACCTGCGTACAACCTGGAAATACACATTCAAAGAGAGCTGTATCTTTTTCCGCATTTGTACCACTGGGCAATTGTACATCCTTAGGCGTCGTAGTCTTGAGACGTTTTTCTTTAATTGGCCCCAAAAAATGTTTTATCAGCGTCTTTTGTCATAAGGCCAGTCGCCTCTTGGTGTTTTAAATACAAAGTGTCATAAGGAAAAAGCTTTCCTCGAACAATTTTATAGGCTCGTCTTGCTCTTATTCCTGAGCTCTCAAATGTGAAATTGTGGAAACCGCTAAAATGATCAATCTTCTTCACTTGAAGGCTCTTTTTCGATTCGTCTACGTACCATATTCACTGAAGCGGAAGTTCCTCTGACAGGATGTTTCTGAAGAGCATCTCTCATGTCGGACGCAGACAGAATATCATTACCCTCGGAACAGTACGTTCGGACGGACGATTTTAGAGGAGAGAGAATCCTGTCACATACATCCTTCCCGCTTTGCGGTTCAGAAAAGTCATAGGCTTCCACTGCAACGCCACCCTTTGTCTTTGGCCAATGTCACGAACCGCCGCAATCAAAAAGTTGCTGTGATAGCAACCCGCCTCATCAGATCTCAAAAAAACACTTTTTAGCCCGGGTTGCTTCATTTTTACGTGTGTTAAAAGATCTTCAATTATTGATACAGCCGCGAACCAGTCTCGGGTGCATTGATCAAATAAATGAACGCTACTGATGTGCCAGCTCAGGCCCCTTTTCCCAAACCAATCACTCTGTTTTTCGCGGTATCTCATCTGAACAAATTTCATTGCCCAATCCTTAATTATTAAGTTTGAGCTAGAGTCTAAATCTTCAAGGATATCTTTTTTTGCGCGCTCTTGATTTGCTGACCTCATAGTATGAGATTTCCAGTGATTGACAGCCTTAGCAGACCTCTGAAAATCATATAGCATATCTTCTTGTTGTTCTTTACTGTGGAACTGGGTGTGTTCACCTTTGATCGCTTGTTCTACCTTGTCCAGACAGACAGAAAGTTCAACGCAATGGCTACAGGCAGATGTATGTTCATGCTCACATTTCTCTTGAAGGTCCTCATCATTAGGGTTACTAGGGGCAAACATGACACAATGGTCGGGGCATGTGCTCTCTCCTTGTTGGCAATGTTCACGGTATTTCGTTTTTAAATATTGCTTGCCATTCTGAAGCGACTTCTTTATGTCCTCCGACCAACCTTCTTCTTGACCGATCTGGTCAAGGTCGTCCACAATTTGCTTGATTTTTTCAAAACCGACAGATCCGTCAGTTGCGGTATTGTCGAGACCAGCTAACGACTTTTGTTGAGAGGCTTCTCTGACCTCGAAGATCCGAAACAAAGTTGCACGGCTTAGTGGCTTTATCTCTTCTTCTTCGCAGAACTGCAGGTACTGTTGCATCATGGTGGAGCGAGTTACTGTGCGAATTACATTGGGCATGGTCACTTGTTCGCTATTATCCAATTTCAATTTTCGGGTTCCAAACGAAACGTCTTGATAAAAATATGGTCTTGTTTACAAATTCTATGAAATGATCCACAAGGGCTGTGTCAAGTCGAACACGATAACTTGAAGCCTTTTCAAGGGTAAAACCTGGACCGTATTCACGAGCATGAGCTCTTGCCCTCTTTATTTGCCACATAGTTATGCTTTCGAAGGGCTCGTGTAGCTTTTGTAGCTTTTCCATAGGGTAGCGGTATGCATAAAGACTTAGAATCTGGGTCTTAAGATTGGAGCATTTTTGTACACCTGCATTAGAGCAAGCAAGTCACCAGAAGGATTTTCGTTGGTCCGATCTGATAATTGAGCGCATGATGTAAAAAGTTGATTCCCAGCGTTTGGCGCTATTACTTCACATACGACTTTGCATCCTTCCACAGCCTTTTCAATGCATTTTCCCTTTTTCACGTCCGTCGCTTCATCCCATCCAGTTTCTAACTGAAAGGTCAATAGGCTGACTTTTCTGATCTTGGTCTTTTCTGATAAACTAGCCATTACCTCATTGTATGTCGTTATCAATGATTCTTCTCCTTCTCTTTCGTCCCCGTCTTGAGAATTTTCTCTTTCTTCTCCAGACCACTCTCCGGGCGTCCAGTCCACGGCCGGGTGTAATAGCACTGGATGGTGCCAATCTAGAAGCTATCGGGGTACATTGCAACTCTGAACTGTTCTTCAAGGCCATCGCAGCCATTCGTTTTGCCAGTGTACGCAGTATAATTAACAAATTAACAAAAAAATGGTCGTAAGTATGAAATAGCAACCCAGCAAGATTTTTTAACAATTTAACACTCCCACACGCATAAACACACCCTGATACAAAAAAAAAGAAAAATCGCCATAAAAAGTGTCCGCTTCATACAATTCATATTTACTATAGACATACCAGTGATTATAGACTATACTGGTTCGACGCGTATACCCGTGTTATTTTTTTGAGAAATTTGTGTGCACAAGACTTCACAATTACTTGCAATGGCAATTAAAATGAGTTAACATTTCAGTGTTTCATTGAAAGGCATTTAAACACACCTTGTCTCTTCATGTTCTCCTAATTTCTCACTCTCAGTGTTTTCCTCCAGCCAACGTTTATTTTCCTCATATTTTTGTCTTTGCTTCTTGACACAAGTAGAGCGAATTGCTGTGCATTAAAAAGTATCACAATGATGAATTTAATTTTTAGTCAAAGTCGATTCGTAGCGTAAAACTTATTTTTAGAACCAACACTGATTTTGATCTGTCGGATTGATAATTGACAACTGGCAAAAATAAACTCAAAACAGTTTTTAATCTCCCGGTTAGGTCTTGAGGTGTCGGAAAAATAGTTTTCAGGATATAGCATATAGCAGGGTTAAAAAACTTTTCAAATACAAAATCCCCGATAGTCACAAAAAAGGGTTTTTAAAGAACGGGACCATTGCCAAGTTTTTCGCATAATTAATCTAATCTACTTTACCGAAATTATCTCTTACTTTGAAAAATAGAACGCTATGAATCAACGTAAAAAATAGACAGTTCTGTAAAGACATTCTAAGCACCTTTTATAAATATACTTGTCCTAATTATACCAACGCCCTTGACCATGCAAACAATGTAAAACAAGAATGTTCATTTCATGCTTGTTATTTACTCAATCCAAGATTTCTACACTTACATCGTGGCACTGTTGCCAAAAAATATAACTGGTTGTGATATAAAAAGCCGGAAAAATAAACACCTTATGGAACGATTCCCTTTCAAGGTTTTACAACAACGTTGAATGGTTATTCCCTCGACCTTCTCTTTTAGTCTTTATTTATAATTAGATTTACAGTTTGTTACACAATTCGGAATACTTGACCATGACATTTACCTTGGTTTTATGAGTTCTTTTATTCTATTGAAAGTTAAAAAGTAAAGGCGCCTCACATTCGTTTCATCATTATCTGAAAGACAAACCTTTTTAAACCCCCTCTTCATCAGTACCACGTTTTACGGGTATTTAAAGCTACTTGAAGCTACACGGAAAGAATTTGTCACACCTGGCCATGGGCACCAATCTCGAGACCTCTCACACAGAAGACTCCAATGGCTACGCAATAACCAACTGTGCCAATCGTTGCTCGTCAAAAAAGGGAAAACGTAAAATATTGTGTAGTAGAATGCTTACCTGACCCAAAGGGAATTGTGATTCCAAAAATTGCGTGAATATTCTTGGACATCTACAAATTGATAACATGATCATTTTTTAGCTTTTTCCTTGCTCCTGAATGAAGAGGATATCGACATGTCCTCAAAGGACGCCAGTTGCGACCCAAATTATGTCTGTGTTTTGGACACACGAACATTTCTTCTTGCCGGTGTGGTCGCACATCGAATAGCCCCGCCCTGACTAGTATCAATTCGTACTCCATCATTCCAGATAGTTTTGAAAGATGGCATGTCTTCAAGTGGATCGTTATATCTTCCTGGCATTCTCGCAACCTACATACTGTATCCGAACCTCGAAAACCTCCACAACTAGATTTTCCGAAGCCCGAGAAACAACACTTTACTGTATCAGTAGCCAAGGACATGGAATCAACGGCCAATATAGTTTCAGATGATTGAGAAATAACCTTAAAATGTGAAAGAACTTGGATAAGACCCATAAAGTCATCAAATGAAGTTAGACTTTGACAAGCAGATCGACAAGGCGAGTGTTCGTTAATTATCAGGTTTACGAAATTTCTGGAAATTCAAACGGCGGTCTATTTTGAAAACGTGGAGAGCACAAAAATGTTATTCCTTGTTAAGTTTTATTATCATATCTAGATTCAAAAGGTCTAGATAGCAGCAACAATATAGATAGTGGTATAAACATGACAACTTTCTTTAATATTCCAGGCATGTTTCGACGGTACATCCGTCATCTTCAGTGTTACATATTTTGAAATCGCCGTTGAATTTAAAGCGCGCGCGATCTTGCAAAGTTCGTTACATTGCGTTGTCAATATTGCGTACTAAAACAAAATTAAATGAGTGATGCTTAGTTCTTTACAGGTAGAGAGTCAGGTTAATGTGTTTCACCTGTTGGTTGAGATCAGGCTTCTCCCATTTTATAAACATGGATTCCTTAAGCTTCACTTGGTACTTAGTGGCTGCAGAGTCCAGGATCTGGAAGCAATCCGGTGTGCAGAATGCTCTACAAAACTCTGAACTCTGCAGATGTTTGAAGGGTTGAAACTTAGTAAAAATGAAGTTAAAAGGCTGTTTGAGTTTGCTACCAAGGAAACTCACTTCCTGTTCAAAGGTAACTTCTATGATCAGGTGGATGGTGTAGCCATGGGGTCCCCCCCCTGCCCCTGTTCTCGCCAATCTCTTTATGGGTCACCATGAGAATATATGGTTGGATCAATACGGGGATTCAGAGGTATTATT